TGCCAATTAGAATTACGCATGTGACCGCTCTCTATAAAATTTGTGATATATCTTACAATTTTTTTTATAAAACTTAAAACTTCAATATTACTACGGAACGCTTACTTTCGCTTTTTAAATTAAACATAAACTAAGTAAACCAAAAATTATATATTCTTGATGTTCCGGCCGAGTTAGTTAAGCATCTAAAGAATCAATTTCTTTTAACACTTTAACACGACTCCCGAGTACTAATAAAAGTCAATTTGTTCTCGTAATTCGAGTTGTTTAGATAGAAAATCTAAGGATAGATTTTTAGAAAATATAAGGTAGAGATGAAGTAATAGATTTTGTAAATATAAGGTAGATATGAGATAATATAATGGTAGATTGTGGGGTATAGATTTCATATTTTTGGAATGAGTTAGGTTGAATTATTTTAATGACAAAGATATGGGAAAAAGACCGGTCGTGAGATGTGGCTAAGTAGCTAGCTCTTTGTGCTATTTGCATAAAATAAATTGTTTCCTAATGAAAAAATGATTAGGCAAATTCTAAGTTACAGAAAATGAAGTAGACCAGCTGACCTTAGTTTAATATTTCATTTTTCTCTCTCATGTTTGTTTGTCCTTTTTCTTTGTTTTTTTTCCCCTGTCGAAATCAATACGCTCTAGCCAACAGAAAAACTACAAAGGAAGATTCCAATAACTTACCAACGGTCTCTTTTCCAATATAATATTGTAATAAAAATTAGATAATTTTTTGGGTTTTTTTTTAATAAGATTCTTTTGTTACTTAAGTGTGAAACCAGCAAACTACTGTAACAAAGTTTGCTTCACTGTAACTTTTGTGATTTTCTTCCACTCTTAAGTCATTCTAATAACTAGCTTAGTGCCAGATCTGTTGGTTGGATTATTAAGAATTACTTTCATTTAATTTCATACCTAGAAGCCCATTCATCGCGAGCAGGGTGAACATTGCAGAGCATGTAAAACCTAAATTTCATGCACCATTATCAATTACATTTATTGCTCATACAATATGACCACCATGAATCTCTAATCCTGTAAATTATATCAGTAAGCATTAATCACAGAGAATAATGTAGGATGAGTCACACTAAGGGTGTGTTTGAATATATGTATTCGAAATATATGTAATTTAAATTTATTATTAGGATATTCATTTTTAAATTTTGTCTATTTCCATTTTTTTGTTTTGTTTTTTCAATGTTAAACTTTTTGTCTCACATTATCTGAAAACTAAATTTCGGTACTTAAATTTTTTTTATTACAATTTAGTATATGAACTTTAACTTCTTGTACAATAGATCCTTAAACGTTGGTCATAAAATTTCATTTTTTTAATACCTATTCCACTATTTACTTGAACTTTTAAAATTTTGTAAGTAACTCCATATAGGGCGTAGCCAGGATTTCGGTTAAGGCGGGTCCGAAATAAAAATATATAAAAATAAATTTAATTAATGTTTACAATGATCCACGACGTGTTTTCATATCTTGGAAAGTCTGTAAAATACACTCATCATCCAGCCTATCTAAGATGCCACTCTCAACATATCCTACCAAAAAATCATTCAACCCTTCATCACTCATTCGACTTCGTAGTGTGTTCTTCACGTAGTTCATTGCCGAAAATACTCTTTCAACACTTGCGGTGGCAACTGGTAACAACAAAGTCAATTTCACAAATAGAAAGCTTCTGACTTGGGAATTTGTAATAAACAAATCGAAAGCTTCTGTAAGTTTGGATTGTTTTATGAGTTTAAATTAGTTTTGAAGTGTATAAGAATGCTTGAGGTTAATAAAGTTACACAATTCATTCTAGCCTAATGGTATGTTTTCTAAGCTTCCCTTTTGATGAGCAAGGTTCAATTCTTCCCGGAAGCATTAATCACCAGCTATTTTTTGTGCCCTGGCCCATATCCAAGGTGGGTCCAGGGACCCAGGCTTTTCTTCTCTGCCTCCGCCCCTAACTCCATATATGTTGCTATGTGGAATTCAAATATGTATTTCAAAGTAACAGATTATAAATTTGATTCGTATTTGAAATTCACTTAGGAGTCGCTTAGATTGATCAATTAAAAAACGAGATAATTTGGCTAATCATTTCATTTTATAAAATGAATCATTTAAAACGACCCAATTCGAATTGTCTGGCCCACCCCAGACAAATGTAAATGCCTCAAATTGAGTCAATTTAAAATTCACCAGGCATAATTGATTCATCTAAATTTTGTGCTGTCAAACGTATCAATTTTGTAAGATTGTCTCAAAATAAAACAATTTTATCAAATTGATCAGTTAGAATTGCTCATCCAAACGAACCCTTATATAAATTGTACACAATAAAAATTCACATATCAAATAAAATACCAATAAAGAATTTTCAAAAATAAGAAAATACAAGAACACCGAAAATTTCAATGTGATTTTCCAATCTACGAGTCAGTCCACATCACACATATAGTCCTTACTATCTTCGGTATATGGAAGAAATTGTTGGAAAATTTGTCGATGGAGCTTAATCTGTCATCCGAATCTGTCAATTTTATCTGCTGATCATGTTTACATGGCGAATACTACATTTTAAATCATGTAGCTGGTCTAGTTTTAATTTAGTTTTAATTCACTTTGCCGGCCACACGACCCATTATAGGGGGTGGGGGCGTATATGAGTATGGACGAATTCTTCGCCATCCAAGCTGTCAATTCTTTATCCTTATCGCCTGTATTTGGTTCGTATTCCTTTGTATAATTATATGATCCAGGGATCTCAATTCTTTATTGTCGTTACAAAGTTAGTAGCAAGGGAGTGATTTTATTATGGGTATCGTTGGAAGCTCGTTAAGTAATAAAGTTTTATGTGTTGTATTATTAGAAATGAAGTTAGCACAACGTTCGGTACAAAATGAGTAGTTAGTATACTAATAATTCACTTATGACATGAATGATTTGTTTTTGAAGTATAAATTTTTCGATGTACGATTGTCTTAAGAAAACGGCTTCAATATAAATTTGAGGCCATGTTACCAAATACCAAGAGATGATCATTAGAATATATTGCATTAATTGCTAATTTGATATTCGGCATGAGGCACGTTTAAGCCCTTGTTTAGTACCCATCTGTCTGCAATTTATCATAATTAATACAGTACTCACTTGAACAGAATAATATCAGAAAAGGAAAAACTTCTTCAGGAAAGAAGATCCCAGTAAAATAGTGATCGTAAAATCTAGGGGCACTGCACATTTTTAGCAACAAAACCTTATTTCCTTACATTAACTGTATTTATTTTTAGGGTTAATACCTTATTATGGCCTGAACTATGACCATGTAATCAACTTGGCCCGTGGTTTGAGAAATTAACATCCTGGCCCGAACTATGCAGCATATAGACAGAATTGGCCTGGAGCGTGGTTTGACCGTTTGTATGGACGGTCAACACCGTTGACCGTTAGCCAACTGTCCAGGTCACTGCCATGTCAGCACAAAAAAATTATAATTTCAATTTTCTTTTTATTTCTTTTACAAAATTGAATAATAAAGAAAAAAATTAAAAAAAATAAAACAATAACTTTTGGCCACCCATCCCCACCTTTGGGTGGCCAAAAGTTATTGTTTTATTATTTTTTTTTAATTTTTTTCTTTATTATTCAATTTTGTAAAGGAAATAAAAAGAAAATTGAAATTATGATTTTTTTGTGCTGACATGGTAGTGACCAGGACAGTTGACTAACGGTGTTGACCGTCCAAACAAACTGTCAAACCACGCTCCAGGCCAATTCTGTCTATATGCTGCATAGTTCGGGCCAAGATGTTAATTTATCAAACCACGGGCCAAAGTTGATTACATGGTCATAGTTCAGGCCATAATAAGGTATTAACCCTTATTTTTATCACAATACAATACCCAAAATTTTGGTTTGTTATAGTATACAAGGGATGACAATCGGGATTGATTTGTCTAACCCATTTTCATCCTCATTTTCAAATATCATTTTCCTACCTGCCTCATACTTATTTAGGGAATTGGTTTTGAGATCTCATCTCGTGATTTTTGGGTACCCATGGGTAATACTCGCACCGTATATACAACATTATTATACCTAAAAATTTACATCTAAATTTTCAATTATAACACTAACAGAACCTACTATATTATGAAGTCAACAAAGATACAATAATTCTTAATACGATTTAAAGCCCCTGATCATAAAACATCTATTAAATCATAAGATAGAGTATAATATTTTATAAATTATTATTCTATTACTATGATACATCAATTAAGTAATAAATAGCTAATATAATCTTATCGAAAGGGGAAAAAATGAAATAGTGAAAGAAGAACCGAGAGAAGTGAACTAGGTTTTACTTTGGATTATGACTTAATTAAATAAATACTATTTATTTCCCTTGAGCTACCATCACTATCATTCACATGTTACAAATCGATCCACATATATTTTTAAATGTGAAGAAATGTTATTGGTGTGGCGTGTATGGGTACGGTATGAGGTGGGGAAGATAAAACCATACCTGTCCCATACCCATAAAACTTTTTGTGAGTTTTACTCATATACCCGCCTCATGCCCAATCAATGCGGGGGATTGCTCGCGTCAACTGGATTGGGAGCACACTACAAAATTGGGCAATTATGGGGACTAACATAGGGGACAACTATTAGCTTTTGTCTCAGAAATACAATCTCAAGTTAAATTAGGAAAAATTGTATTAAGTTGTCCCCATAAAATGAAGAATGATGTTTTTGTTAATTAGAAATTTTGTTTAGTTTCCCTAAAAATGTAAGTTCCGGAAATTTTATTTAAACTATTAAGTGGGAGGGAAAATCTTTTAATGCAGTGAGTTATTTTGTGCAGGAACAACAAATAAATACGGAACGAGATAGATAAACTAGTTTGGCAGTCAAAGAAGATAACTAATATCGCAAAAAAAAAAAAAGCTCTCCAGCGACCGTACGGGAAACCTAACAACGATGCCGACATCAGCCCCCTCAGGGCGGCCGCCGGACCCTCTTCAGCAGGCAGGCTTTCAGGTGGGAACTGATACGACGCCACAAACGACCCTCACTATGATGGATTCAGCCATGGTGATTGACGGTGGAGTGAAGGATGGTCGTCCGACTGCGGACTCTCAAACCCTAGCGCGGGACACGACATCCACTCAACCGGGCTCAGGGCCTTTCTCTTATGCGAACGCCGTCACCGGATTGTTGAAACAGACCACGAATCCTCTGACTTCCAGCCAATGGATGCCAGTCGGGGAGCACGATCTGGTTCCTAGAGATTTCAATGGTGAACCGGCGTTGAGGGTGTCAACAAGTTTCATGAGTAAGCTTTGAGCGCCTTGGCAGAAAACAATTGAGGCTGGCTCCTTGGTATCAAAGTGGGATTCCATACTCTCGTTTCACGGCTTAGAGCGCAATGGAGGCCGATCAGAAATATGGAGGTTATGGCGTTGGATTAGGAATGCTTTCTAGTCAAGCTTGACAACGATCAAGATTACTACAAAGCACTCACAGATGGACCATGGACTATCTTCGATCACTACATGGTTGTACAACAGTGGACGCCAAAATTTCGAGTCTCCGATCCCCTCCCGCAGAAGATGATTGTGTGGGTTCAGCTTCCGGCACTCCAAGTACATTTTTATCACAAGGAGGTGTTGATTTCTCTAGGGAATCTGATTGGTCGGACAATAAAACTAGATTACCACACGTTGAATTAACAACGGGCGAAGTTTGCTAGGATTGCAGTAGAGGTAGATTTGACTAAAACGCTAGTGCCAAGAAATTTTCTAGAGGATGATTGGCAGAAGGTTGAGTATGAGAACTTGCCGGCAGTGTGTTTCGATTGTGGTAAGATTGGCCATAACGCGGACAAGTGCCCCCGTCTCTACCCGACCAGCCAACCAGGGCAGTTAGCCATTGTGGAAGTTAGCGCGGCGGCGAGCATCGAGATGGCGACGCCGGAGCCTAGCGCCGGTTATGGACCATGGATGCTGGTTTCCAGGAAATCCCGTCGCAATTCACGGGAGATTTCACAAAAAAGGAAAGAAGAAGTTGAAGTTGGCAAACATATCGGTGGAATTGGAGATAAAAATGGAAAAGGTGGGAATAAACATAAGGAAAGTGGAATTATGAGAAGCATTTGGCGGCCCAAAAGGCTCCCCAGAATCAACGATCGGCTCCGCAAGAAGGAAAAGGAAGTTGGTTTAAAAAAGGAACAGAGGAAGCCAGGAAAGGAAAGGGGAAGATGTATGGAGTGTCGTTACCGGTTGAAGAGGTGCTGGGCCCTGGGCCTTCTTCGGCACCCTCACCGCAGGTCTTGAGTGGCCCAATCACTAGTAAAAACCAGGCGAACACGCCCCACGTTACTCTCTTAGGTGATATCCCTGTTGGGCCCAACATGAATATACACTTAGCCCAGTCGTCGAACAAGGAGCAACCCGGAATTGGCCCTGCAGTCCATAAGGTGATCGGGCCAAATGGCACCAACATCCAAATTGTGGAGCTTCGATCCTCAACTTCCACTTTGACACATGAACAGCTAAGTACGGCGGTCGAAGCTAGGAAAGGAAAAGGTAAACAAAGCAGAAACAGTAACCCTAGGTCGCGAAAATGCACTCCGGTTAAGATGAATCCCCTAAAGCTTCTGCAGACTAGGTCTCCTATGAAGGAGAAGAAATCCAAAAGCAAGGCTCGGCTAGCCTTCCTTACTCTGCAGGACATAAAAAAATGGACATCGGTTGGAAAGAACAAAACAACTGTTGAGATGGATGAGGTCCTGCCGAATGTGGAGGAGGGCGCTCCGGGGCTGCAGAACGGCGAAGGCGGACTTCAAGCCTCAACATAATTGGTGAACCCGTTCCTCTTTACCTCCTTTTCTTCCTCAATTCCTTTTTTATGTCGTCCATAAATCAAATTAAGTTATTGTCGTGGAATGTTGGAGGAGCTGGGAGTAAGGCCTTTGCCCGAGCCCTGAAGCTCCTCATCGAGACTCATCGTCCTGATTTTATCATTCTTTTTGAACCTCGGATTAGTGGGAATGCGGCTAACGGCCTATGTGACAGGCTGGGCTATCCTAATGCCATTAGGGTGGAGGCGGAAGGAAGGAAAGGCATGATTTGGGTCTTCTGGGATGAGAAGCTCTTCTCGGTTCATATAGTCTAGGCTTGTAATCAGCACCTTTCTCTGAGAGTTGCCCAGAGGAGATCAATGGTTTGGGTTCTTACTGCGGTGTATGCCTCGCCTCAGCCTAGTCAGCAAAGAAGCCTGTGGTATAACCTTCTCGAGCAGTGTAAGAATATGGAGTCTCCATGGCTTCTCACTTGAGATTTCAATGCGATCCGGTCACCAGAAGAGAAAATGAGCTCAGCCTCGGTTAATACCATAAGAAGATGTCGTCTCTTCAATGATCGGATTAATGCGGCTGAGCTTATTGATCTAGGTTTCGCGGGCTCACGTTTTACTTGGAGCAGAGGAGACCAAACCAGGACTCATTAAGCAATCAGGGTAGACCGGAGCTTCTGTAACACGGCCTGGAATTCTGCTTTCCCCACTACCTCAGTCCTTCACCTCCCTAGGCTTCATTGTGATCATAGTCTCATTTTAACCTCCTTTGCTACTCAGGGGCAGCCCTCTCATACTCTTCTTCCCTTTAAGTTTGAAGCGGCGTGACTTTCTCATTCTAAGTTTGCCTCGGTTCTTGCAGGTTCTTGGAATGGAAACACTAACCACCCCACTGCTCTAAACAGCCTAGCTACAGAGATACATGAGTGGAATTACAAGACTTTTGGCAACATTAGACAGAAGAAATGCAGACTCCTTCCAGGATCAAAGGGGTTGAGATCAGGCTCTCAAATCATTTTGATCCTGGTTTAGCTAAACTGCATTCCAAGTTGGAGAAAGAACAAGATCAGATCCTCGAGCAGGAAGAACTTATTTGGTTCCAAAGGGCAAGAGAGAAGTGGGTGAAATTTGGAGAGAAGAATACTGCTTACTTCCATCAGCAAGTTAACATTAGGAGGAGACGAAACCATATTGAAGCTCTTAGAGATGAGAATGGAGAGTGGGTCCATGACCCTCAATGTTTGGCTCAACTGGTGTGGGACTTCTATACTAAGTTCTATGTGCAGGGAATTTCAGAGTACGAAGGCAAGATTCCCAAGAAATCCTTCCCTAGGCTAAACCAAGCTGATCTGATGGCCCTGCTTCGGCCCTTCACCATCATGGACATCCATCGGTCTATCTTCGACATAAAGCCGTTCCAGGCGCATGGCCTAGATGGTTTTCATGCAACTTTTTACCAGCACACCTGGAATGTCATTGGAAAGTCCCTCACAGACATGGCGCTAGCCTTCTTCTCGACGTGTCATCTCCCGGAGAAGGTTTCAGACTCGACAGTTGTTCTCATCCCCAAAGTGGAAAACCCTGAGTAGGTGACCCAACTTCGTCCTATCTCGCTCAATAATGTGTGTCTCAAGGCTATTACAAAGGACATCACGAACAGGTTGAAGCCAATCATGAAGAAGCTGGTGTCACCACGGCAAAGCAGCTTCATTCCTGGAAGGCAAACAACGGATGACGTCATCATTGTTCAAGAGGTGTTACACTCTCTGAGAAAGAATAAAGGGAAGCGCGAAGGGATGGTGCTCAAGATAGATTTGGAAAAGGCATACGATATGCAGAGCTGGGAATTCTTGAGGGATACAATAAAAGAGGCGGGCCTTCCGAGTTCATGGATTAGCGGCATCATGTACTGCGTGGAGCATAACCAGATGCGTATTTTGTGGAACGGAGAGCTATCACAACCTAATCTTCCAACCCGAGGGGTTCGACAGGGAGACCCGCTATCCCCTTATCTCTTTGTTTTGTGTATGGAACGATTATCGCATAAGATTGATGAGGCCTTCCACAGTAAGCGCTGGAAGCCTATCCGGCTTACTAAGGATGAACCACCTCTCACTCACCTCTTTTTTTTTGCAGATGATCTTCTTCTTTTTGCAGAAGCGGAGATGAGACAGGTTTGGATCATCAAGGAATGTTTAGACGACTTCTGCACTAGCTCCGGGCAATGAGTTAACTACAACAAATCAGTAATGTTTGTTTTCCCAAACATTGATAGGGTCAAGGCTAATCTCCTAAGTGGCAGAGCAGGCATTCCTCTCAAGCAGGAGCTGGGGAGATATCTCAGAATTCAGACTATTCACGGGAGGGTAACAAAGTAGAGATGCCAGGGTCTAATCCTTAGAATTCAGAAGAAGCTAGCTCCTTGGAAAGCTAGAAGCGGCTCAACTCACGGTGGCTAGATCGGTAACTGCTTCTCTCCCTACGTATAGTATGAATACTAAGCTAATCCCTAGTGGTGTGTGCAAGGATATAGACAAGCTGAACAGAGACTTCATCTGGGGGGATGAGGAGGACAAAGCCAAAATGCACCTAGTTTCTTGGGATAAGATGACTCTCCCCATATCCCGAGGAGTTGGTCTCCGATCTCTGAAGCAAGCAAACCTTGCGATGCTAGCTAAAGCAGGGTGGAGGATTCTTACAGAAAAGGACAGTCTATGGACCCAAGTGATGCAAGCTAAGTATGGGCGGAATCGGGAGGATTTGGACATTATTAGGCCAATTCAGGGAAGTTCCTTTACATGGCAGAGCCTATCTAAGGCTGCTGAACATCTAAGGAAGGGTTGTGCGTGGAATATAAAGAATGGTAAGCGCACTAAATTTTGGTTGGATATTTGGATTTTGCAGGTTTCGCTCATGAAAGTGGCCATTAACGCAATTCCTCCGAAATTAGAGCAAATGGTAATTGCTGACTTCGTGACTCAGGATGGAATATGGAGAGTTGATATGTTTGAGGATCTCCTAACCCTTGATGTGCAGCAAAAGATCCTAAGCACAGCGGTGGATAGCCTCGCAAGGGAGCAGGACACGATCTGCTGGGCAGCCTCTTCGGATGGGAATTTTTCGGCCAAGTCGGCGTATAAAATTTTTAGTTTAGATCTGCATGAGCAAGAGGAGAGGCGCTGGAAGGCTATCTGGAGTCTTACCATCCCTAAGAGAGTCAGGAATTTCATGTGGCTGGTTTCTTTGGGCAAGATTGCCACTAATTCTCTTCATTTTCACAGGAAGTTAATCACTAATTCGAGCTTCTTGAGGTGTCTTGGACAACCGGAAACTATTGTCCATATCCTCAGAGATTGCCCTCCGTCTCTTTTCTTTTGGACTCGGCATGTCCCTACAGCTAAGCAGGTTATGTTCTTCACCTCCACCCAAGATGATTGGCTGAAGGACAATATCATGTGCAATGATCCTTGTGCTACAGGTATGTCGTGGGCAGCCTTCTTCAGTGTAGCGGTCTGGTTAATATGGAAGAATAGGTGTACGGCCAGCTTCAAGGGGATTAGTGGAGCTCTTACGCCAGCCTCGCTCTCACATTCTATTGATGCCAAGGCCAAGTTGTGGTATGAAGCTTGGGTCGCACCTCCGATTCTGCCAAGCCTTAAGCAGCAGCCTCTTCATCGGATTGTCGTGGAGATTGGGTGGAGAGCGCCACCCACGCGCTGGTGGAAACTCAATGTTGATGGAGCCTCATGCGGGAACCCAGGACAAGCCGGATTTGGTGGAGCTCTGCGAGACAGTATGGGTCAGTGGATTACTGGCTTTGTGGCGAACATAGCGACATCGACTGCAGCTCTAGCAGAGGTATGGGCTATCTTTTATGGACTGGAACTTGCTTGGATGAAAGGTTGTCGAGTCCTTCGGGTTGAGTCCGATTCTCAGTTGGCGATTCAGCTTATTAACAATAGATTTAATCAAGTGCATCCGCATGCGACTTTGCTTGCTGCGATCCGTAGGAAACTAACCCAAGACTGGTTGGTGAGCATAACTTATACATACCGAGAAGAGAATAGAGTCGCGGACTGGCTCTCAAAGCGCAGTCTCGTCTACCCCTACGGTATGCATGAGCTTGCGAACCCGGCCTCAGGCTTAGGGATCCTGCTTCCGGAAGATGTTATGGGATAACCTTTGAGCGACGGATTCCTTCTCGGTCTACTTCCCTCTTCTCCTCTACTTATCCGATGTAATCTTTCTGGTTGCTTGGCCTCGGCCTCCTTTTATGCAAAAAAAAATAAATAAATACGGAACGAGATTTATTTTTTCCATTACGGAATATTGTTTACGCTGATTTTTCTCTTTTTAATTTACTGGTCATTTATATAGGACTTAGAGCTAGAAACAAAAACGATGGATAAATTTAAAACTCATGTCATCTTAACCATTCATTTTATTGATCGAAACTTGCAACCATGGATTTGCTTTAAACTTAACCTAAGAAACCCTAGTTTTTATTGATATCTCTATAGCGGTATAGCCGCATATTTTCATCATTCCTCGCTCTTCCTTCTATTCTCTCAGCCTCCGACTCTTTTCTCACAATTCTCATATTCTCTTGTTCTGGCCATACTATCTACGTTGTCCTCTTTCGTATTAGTCGGTGGATATTTGCATATATAATCCTTTGGAGGTAAGTTTTGATGTAAGTGAATTTGTTTCTTACTATGTTAAGCTTCTAACTGTTTGTTTTTCTGTACTTTGCAGGTAATGGCCAACGCTGCGATGAGAAATTCTCAGTGGCAAAGATTCGGAGAGCAGGTGGCACTAGGGAGCAATCGACTTCGTCAAAACCAAATGGACAGCCCTAACTACTAACTACGAGTGTATCCGACAAAGTAATAGAGCTTAACGGCGGGAAGGGTGCAGATTGCTGCATTGAATCTTCTGGCTCTGACGCCCACAGGTGTCGAGGGTTTGATTTACATGAAGTTCATTAATTGGAAGGCATATCTAGCAGGATAATTGCTATTCTTCTTTTTCCTTCAAAAGTTTGATTTTCTTTTTTATTATGTGTTATCGTGAATACAAATTGAGATAATTATCAGTTCCGTGTATCTTTGTTTATCATCACCACATATACGTAGTAAATCAATTGTGAATTCGGTTTCTTATATACAATGGCGTTAAAATTTGTCCCCTAACGTACAAGCTTAATGCACAATTACTTGTCCCTAAAATTCACACTGGTGACTACTTGTTGCCGACACAAATTTGACACTTATGAATACAACATTTTGTCCCTATAGAAAATGGAACAACATTTATTTTTTATAATATTATTTGGGGATGACTTCTTGTCACCAAAGTGGTAGTTATAGGAATGACATGTCTTCTTTCATTAAAAATTGAGATAACAACTTGCAATGTATTGGGGACGACCTAGATATTTCATCCCAAAAGAATAGAGAACAAGCGTATAAGGGACGAAATATTGGGGACGAGTATGTCGTCCCCAAAAACTATGGGGATGATTTTATCTATTTCCGGGGACGAGTTTTGTTGTCCCCAAACCTAATTTTTTTTTGTAGTGGCAATCGGGTACCCGCAGTAATGAGTTTGATTTTCAACACTATATTATTCTCTAATCCTTAATTATTGAACTCTCAGTTGTAATTTTCTAAATCTCACACCTTAACTCCTAAGATGGTGCATCTAATATGTTAGATGTATTTCAATGAATCAGAATATTAAATTATTTGTTTCTAATAAATTGATTTTGGACTATATGATTTAGGAAATTAAAACATATATTTTGCTCATTATTACTTAGGGTATAAAATTTGAAGGTCTCAATAATTTTCCTTATAAAAGGTATGCAATCCTCGTATGTAACTTGATTACTATAGAAATTCTCATATATCTCACTCGAAGCAGCAAAATTCAGCTGCAAGTCCAGCAGCTTCCCCCATAGGGAGAAGGAGCCTTTGGGAACAACTTAGTAGCATTCGAGTGATGTTAATGATAGCTGGTTGATCATAGGGGGACCTCAATGTAGTGATGTTTGACTACAAGAAGGAAGGACGTTGTCCTCTCCGCAATGGAAATGTGGAGCCCTTTAAGTACTTCCTCCTCCACAATTGCCTGATCGACCTTGGTTACAAAGGGCGACCTTCCACCTGGTCAAACAAACAACAGGGTGAAAGAATTGACCGGGCTTTGTGTACAGCTGAGTGGAGAACCACTTTTGATGAGGCTACAATTCTCCATGAAGACATGATTGATGAGGCCATTGCCCCATTAGACTGGATACTAAACCAAACCGAAGAAGAAAGAAAACTCCTTTCAGATTTGATAAGAGATGGAAAGAAAATGGAATAGAGAGTGTGAAGATATCATAATGAAAATTGGGAGACTGAGAGACTTTTGCGTTGGTGGAGTCGAGCGCGAGACTTTACGGATGCTTTCTCCTTCTTCTTCGATTGAAACTCTGTATAACCCTAATTTCGGTTTCGACAAGAACAAGTGAAGGCAATCAAATAAACTGAAAACACGAATCGATAGAAAGAGTAAAGTAGCTTCCCTTTCTTGTTTATCAAAACGACACCGAATCTGGGACTAGGTCTTGAGACAGGTAATTCGAGATTGGTTGGGCTTAGTTTGTTTTCGATCTGTCAAACTAACATAGGCTCAACTTGGTTAATTTGCACGCTGCGTTTTGATAACATAGTTTCCTTCTCCTCTCTTCCAACAATTCGATCAGGCCTTGTACTGCACAAAACTCAGACACACACTAAGCTAAGAACAAGAATGAGAACTGGAAATAAATAAAGCACAACAAAAACGAATGAAATCTTGACACAGTATTTTTACGTGGTATCCGATACTGATGAATTCAGTATCGACTAATCCATGGTCAAAGGTTTCTTGAGTCCTTTGACGTAATACTATGAACTTTAGTTTCTGGTTAGCCCGATACAACTTTGATCCCATAGTGACTCCCTGCCACTCTGATCAGAATCTCACAGAACCTACAACTCCCTGTCGTTGTTCAAACTCGATCAACTAACTCCCACAAGCTCTCTCCCTGACAGTTCTCTCCTTCTCTAATCAAAACTCTAACAGTACACCTCTGTTTCTATTTTGATTCACATGAAAAAGGATGCCCTGTTCTACCCAGACTATTTCACACTTCATACATTCTCCTTCCTAGCCGTTGATGATTGCTACCTTTAGTCCCGATGATTTTGATTTAATCTTAATTGATAGACTCCTTCCTTAATTTGCTCTCCGAAGATCAGCCTTTTCCTTTTGATCATATTCTCCAACTTTCCTTAGTTTAGCCTGCACAAGCTTGCCAATTCTTCTTTCAACATTCTCCCCCTAAGCTTGTGAGTAGATCAACTCAGCAACCTAGACACATCTAACAAACGGTGGGTAGAGCCTATTCCAATGTACTTATGCAAAGTGAGGAATTGTTCATTCATTCATTCAACAACCTATAGATCAAAACAAAATCCTCGACATTAATTCAACCAACAAATCAAACCATCACACAAAATCAATCACTTCCTAGCCCTTAGACCCTCCGTATGAACTCCCTTCTAGAAGGGGTAATTAGGAGGTGAAACATAGCTTTAGACCCTCCTTATGAACGGATCACTAATTTGATTAGATTCATAGATAAACTTTGGCAGCATCAGATCCTTTTCAATCATCAACCTCCTTTTTGGACCACTCCTGCACCAGCCTCTTGCTTGTATGCTGCAGCTTCTGCATTAACCAACGTCGAGGAGGCCAGTTGTTGCTGACTGTTCACTCCCCCTAAGCCAGTCACAGGCTTACGGGGACCAACCAAGGCATCAACACGTTCTAGAACATGTTGGGGATGCAAATAATCGAGCACATCACACACGAAGACTTTGTCACGCAAGTCAATGCCCAGACGATACAAGAAACGAGTAATTTGTGGACCAAATGGCAGCGGACCACCATAGTGTTCAGTCCCAAATTTGATCATATGTTGGAACATAAGAGACGCATAGCTAATGCGACACCCAACCCGCGCATTAAAAAGAACCCAGAGATCAGGAGAGTGAATAAGATCTGTACTGGCGAGATCACGAGGAAGAAACCACCGAGTGAGGAAGAAAAACAAGACTTTGAGATCGTCTGGTAATCGTCCAGCAGAAAGTTGAGATGGAAACTAGCGTCCTATATCACGCACCAGATACGCAAGAACCTGATCGAATCGGAATCCAAAATGTTGGAATTCACTGTCCGTTCCAGCCCTGATGCCGGAATGAGGGATTTCCAACACAGATGCTAGCAACTTATGCGTCACTTTGATTTCATAGTCATAGACTAGAGTGGTAAAGAAGGAAGGATCACTTCCTGGACATTTTCGAAGATTAACATAGAAGAGACGGACAACCTTAGGACATTGACTGAACCGCAGATCAGACACCAAAGAATCCCATCCTAGCTTATGAAGATAAGCAGGAATATTCATGTCGTATTTTGAAAAAGCAGCAGGCTGAATGGAGAAGGATGGATAAAGGGGACGATCTCAAAAGCGACGAAGATACCTAGAGTAGGTAGCAACATTCCGAAAACTCTGATTCTTGAATAGAACAGAAGACTTCAACTGAGCATTGTTAAGCGCCATTTTTGACAAGATGTGTTTGGTTGCTTTCTCTGCTCAAGGCTAGGTAGGAAGCAGTAAGGAGGAATGAAGAAAACGAGGGGAGATGATGAGGGTTATATACGCTAGACTGCATTTAAACCAAGGAAACTCTTCGGATGGAAGGGAAAGAATCAATGAGAGAAGGAAGAGATCCGTGAAAACAAGGCAAGAAAATATGTTATATGCAATCAAATATCGTTAATTTCTTCTTGAGTAAACTTGCCAAGTTCATTTCGAATTGGTAAGAATTTTTCAGCACCTAAAGGTTTTGTAAAAATATCGGCCCATTGCATCTCTGTATTAATGAATTCTAAGTGCATTTTACCATCTTAAACGAGATCATGAATAAATTGATAACGTACCTCAATATGTTTAGTTCGTGAATGTTGAATAGGGTTTTTAGTCATGTTTATTGCACTCGTGTTATCACATAGTATGGGAAGAGATCCTATGCTAAGACCATAATCCTGAAGCTGGTACTTCAACCATAACAGTTGAGTACAACCTAACCCTGCTGCAATATACTCTGCCTCGGCAGTTGATAATGCAACAAAGCTCTGCTTCTTACTGGCCCAGGATATAAGTGACGTTCCTAGGTAATGACACATCCCAGAAGTGATTTTCCTATCAGCCACACACCCAGCATAATCAAAATCACTATATCCTAGTAATTCAAGACTTGATTCACACGAATACCATAATCCAAGTGAACCAGTACAAGAGAGATAACGAAAAATACGTTTTACTACAGTTAAATGGCTAATTTTAGGGGTACTTTGAAATCTGGCACAAGCACACACACTATACATAATGTCAGGTCTGCTGACAGTTAAATAAAGTAGAGAGCCAATCATTCCACAATATAACTTATCAATAACTGGTTCTCCTGATTCATCCAAAGAAATTTTTACTATAGAACCCATTGGTGTAACTGCAGATTTTAAATTCTTAAGATCAAACCGTTCAAGCATGTTTTTTAAGTACTTAGTTTGACTTATAAAGGTCCCTTTGTTAGTCTGCTGAACTTGCAAACCTAGGAAATAAGTTAATTCTCCCATTAAACTCATCTCAAACGCCCCTTTCATAGCTGACTCAAACTGTTTACACATTTCTTGACTAGTTGAACCAAAAATTATATCGTCCACATAAACTTGAACAAGCCTAGTATGACCATTTAGACTTTTGATAAACAAGGTTTTATCCACAGTGCCTCTACGAAAGCCATCCAGCATTAGAAAGTTATCGATTTTATCATACCAAGCCCTAGGAGCTTGTTTTAAACCATATAAAGTTTTGTTAAGTTTATACACATGATTAGGGAATTTGTGATTCTCAAATCCAGGGGGTTGAGCAACGTAGACTTCTTCTTTTAGATCTCCATTAAGAAACTTACTTTTAACATCCATCTGATAAAGTTTAAAATTTTGAGATGCAGCAAATGCACACAACAGCCCGAAGGCTTCTAGTCTAGCTACAGGAGCAAATGATTCATCGAAGTCTATTCCTTCCTCCTAATTATACCCTTGTGCTACTAGCCTAGATTTGTTCTTAGTTATATCACCAATTTCATCAGTTTTATTCTTATTAACCCACTTAGTTCCAATTATAGGTTTATATTCAGGTTTTGGAACCAATTCTCAGACATTCAATCTTTCAAAATACCCTATTTCATCTTGCATAGATGCTGTCCAGAATTCATCATTCAGAGCCTCTTTAATATTTTTAGGAACTAATAGTGACACAAAGGCAGTATGCACAAATGACAATTTAGAGCGAGTTACCATACCTTCCCTCAGGTCACCAATGACTTGAGATGGTGGATGCCTTTTTTGGATGTGCAAGGGAGCTTCTATGACTCTGTTCCCACCAATCTCAGGTGTGTGTTCTTTATCTATTGGTTCTTGTGAGTTTTCATTTCTCATCTCCTGTTCAACTGGATCTGCTTGACTTGGTTTATATGATCTTCCTAATCCAAGATCATCATCTTCATCAATTTGATCTGCACGCTTACTAGGAGAATAGTCAAATACCACATTTATGGACTCCTCAACCTTGAGGGTCCGTTTATTATACACTCTGAAAGCTCTGCTATGAACAGAGTACCCTAAGAAATTGCCTCATCTGACTTGGAGTCAAATTTCCCTAGGTTATCTTTGGTATTCAAAACAAAACACCTGCACCCGAAAGGATGAAAATACCCCACATTTGGTTTTCTGTTTTTCCATAATTCATATGGTGTTTTATTTAGCTTAGACCTGATTAGACCTCTATTGATAATATAGCATGCTGTGTTTATGGCTTCTGCCCAAAAGTGTTTAGGTAAACCATAGTCGTTCAACATTGTCCTTTATACCACTCCATTATGCTGTGGAGTTCTAGGGGAAGAGAAATTATGAAATATTCCTGTCTCTTTACAGAACTTATCAAAACTATCAGAAATAAACTCTCCCCCGTGATCACTTCTTATACTCATAGTTCTGGTTCCCTTTTCATTCTCTAGGCGTTTAATCAGATTTTTAAATTGCACAACGGTCTCTCCTTTATTTGAGAGAAAAGAACCCATGTAAGCCTAGAATAATCATCTACAACTACACAAGCATAGTATTTTCCACCAAGACTCATTACATTACTTGGACCAAAAAGATCCAAGTGTAGCAATTCCAATGGTCTAGATGTGGAAATTACAGGTTTACTTTTAAAAGAGGATCTGACCTGCTTACATCTTGTGCAAGCTTCACAAAAAAATTCCTTTTTACTACTGATTTTTGGTATTCCAGTTACACTATCCAAACTAATCAGTTTAGCTAAGGATCCTACACTAATATGACCCAACTTCCTATGCCATTCTAACTGGTCATCCTTGTCCACTGTTATCAAACACATCTCATTGAAATCATTCTTGTTATTTAGATTTATGCATAATAATTTTCCTTTTCTTCTGCCTATAAACAATACTTGTCTGCTCTCAATATTTTCAACATAGCATTTGTTAGGTTCGAAATTCACCCTATTTGTTTCTCCGCACATTTGGCTTATTGAAAACAGATTATGCTTAAGACCCTTGACCCACATCACATTAGTTATAATTGGTCATGTTCCTATTTCTCCCTTTCCTATAACATCAGTGCAAAAGTTATCTCCAAAGTAAACCTTACCTTTCTTACCCTTAATCAGTTTTGAGAAAATTTTTTCATTTCCAGTCATGTGGTGTGAGCACGCACTGTCCAGAATCCATTCGTTGTCTTCCATGCTCACTTGGAAGCAGACCTGGACACAAAGGTATTTTATTTGTTTTTAGGTATCCATACCAATTTGGATACTTTACTTCCCACTTTGATATTAGTACAATTGTAACTCATATGTCCCTTTTTATGACATGAAAAACACACTATTTCCTTTAACCTGGTTTCCTTAGCTATTCGTTTATGACAGTGTGAAATATAATGTCCTAAACCATGACAATAAAAACATTCTGGAATTGACTTGTTATGACTCATTTTTGTTACTAATGGCCTTTTATGTTTTATACATAGATGGTTACCAGCTTTCCTACTTTTAGAGACTTATGTTTCTAGTTCAGCATTTCTTCTTAAGGCTTCTTCCAATCTTCTATCTGTTTCTAGTTTTTCCCTTTTTAGTTCATTGTAGTTCTCAAATAGTTCTTCAAATTCGGATTTCATTATAATATGTTTTGATCTAACAAGGTCAAATTCCGACTGAATATCCCTTATGGTATCTATTATTTGACCATCTTCATCACATGAATCAGAGTAGTAGTTAGATCTACTTATCTGTGATGCTTCCACATCATCTTCACTTTCATCCATGGCCATGTAGGCTTCATATTTGGGCTCGACCTCTTCCTCTTCATCTTCACTGCAGCTCCAGGTAGCTGTGTAAGCCTTCTCCCGCTTTATTTGTGGGCACTCTGCCTTGATGTGTCCACTCCTTCCACACTTGAAGCATCCAGCTGATGACCCAACCTTATTGTCGTTGCTAAGGAACTCTCGTCTAGCTCTTGGATTTTCTCTAAATGTCTTCACTTGCTCCTTCTCTGAATCACCTTCCCTAGTTCGATTAGGAGATCCTCCTTTTCTCTTTTCTTTTCGTAGTCTAAGTAGCTTGGCCACATGCTTGCTTAGCATGGCCAGCTCTTCATCTTCCATGTCTTCCAGACAGTCAAGTTCTTCCTCTGATGCAGAAACTTTGAATGCCTTACTCTTCTTCTCTTTTCGAATCTCCTCTCCTTCTTCTCTTCTGAGTTTTTCTTCGTGTTTTATTAGTGACCCCATGAGTTCATCTAAACTCAACTTTGTTAGATCCTTCGATTGCAGTAACCTTAGGAG